CCTTTTCACTCTTTTTCTTGAGAAATTTCAAGATGCCACTCTTGGTCGTTGTAACGTAACTTAGGGTTTAATTTTCGGCCTATTTCCATTTTTGTCTGCCTGTCTTGCTCCACAATCGCCTTTCAGGTCTTTTTTCTAGTTATAAGCAGTTCAGGGCCGGCTGTGGCCATTTGGTTTTAAGTGGAAACTGTCTCTTTAAATTTCAAGAGATCTGTGCATAGTAGAACCCTCCAAGGGTGGGGCTGGGGTGCCCACTAGCTTAGGCACCCCTATAGTCACCAGAATAGAGGTGTGCAGATAGCAAGGGACCAATGAACATATACCAAAAGAAAAGAATGTCCACACCTTTATCTCTGTAATTCTGTCAGGCGTCCGTGGCTGCTCTCATTCTTCCCTTGCTTGGTCTCACCCAAGATGGTGGCTCCTGGAGCAGCTGAGCGTCTTGAATTAGAAAGCAATGGATTTCTTGCTTCTGCCACAAATTCCCCTAGCTGTAAGCCTTCCAACCTTCTAAATATTCCTTTATATGTAGTTCAGAGTTCTGGGACCATCCCCTGAGCCTGCTTGGTCCAGTATTCTGTGTTGTTGCTATCAGAGCTCCTTACAGACCTTCCACCCAATCTGCCATGTTGTTTGTTCTCCATCTGAACCATTAACTTTTAATTGAATGCACTAGGAACCTATGTAGGTGAATGCTTAACCATTTGTACTATCCAGAGACACTCATTAAAAGAATATACAAATATTGTTAATATTTTTAAATGAACTCTGAACTTAGTCTTTAAGAGTCTTTCAGTGCTTAAAAATAACATTTATATTAAAATGTTTATCTGGAAAAACATGGTTTTAACAAGAATCAAATACTTCCTGCTGATACTCTTGTCTTTTCCGTAAAGTATTGGAAACCACACTTGTGTTTTCTTTAGCAATTCATTTCATAATAATACTTAGTGTGAGGTAAGATAATTGTTAGTGTAACACCTAGTCTGAGGTAAGATATAAGAAATCTTGAGATTTCTTTTTAGTTTTAGTTGTCCTTATTCTCACTTTTAATCTAGTTATTTAAAGAGCTTTGTCAGGGATCAAGGTCACAAGGCAGACAGTAATAAATAGGATTCTGAGAAAGTTAAATGTTTTAAGCAGGTAGAAAAACTTTTGCTACCCCCGCCACATATTAGAGGGTGTATTTAATAGGTTACAGATTTCTTTTTCCTTGTTTCTTTTATCGTAAATTCTGAGTTCAGGAAGTTATATGTAATTTTGGTTTTTGTTTTTAGATTGAATCACTTTTTTTCAATGGTGGTAGTATTTTTCTGAAATTTTGGTTCTGCATGTTTAAAGAGAAGGACTAAATCATTAAGATTAAAGGTGTACTGTAATACCCCTTTAGTGTCCTAGTGTGGTGCTATAGGATAAGCACTGGACTGCTAACCACAAGGTTGGAGGTTAAAACCCACTGGCTGCGTGTTGAAATCTTTTATGGGTTCTCTATGTGTCCGAACCGATTTGACGGAAGTTGACAGCAACAACAATTTAAAATCTCTCCTTAAGATCTGAAATTCTATGATTCATAAGTATTTGAAACCTAATGGAAGAACATAGTGTATCTATTTAATGAATATAAAGACTGTAGTGGATTTAAAGAGTTAGTCTAAGTACTAACAACAAATGTAACAAACAGTAATATTCAGGGGCTTTTCATTTGAAAGTACTCAGGCTCTTTTTGAGTGTAGGTGTTAACTCAGAGACAGTAAAGCACTGCTACTAGCATATCGATAACAGTCAATAAAGAAGATATAGGAAAATTAAAAAAAAAAAAAAATTAGTAACAAGAGGTAATAAACCACAAGAATTTGGGATAGGCATGCCAAACAGCAGCCTTGAAGTATTATTATAATGTGGCAAAATGCATCAGTTTATAACAACAACTGGTAAACCAACTAGGCAAAAAAGATTTGCTTCAGACTACTAACTTAAAGGATCTCTGGTAGCGTAGTGGTTATGAATCGGGCTGTAAACCTTAAGGTCAGCAGTTTGAAACTACCAGCTGTTCTACGGGAGAAAGATGAGGTGTTTGCTCCCGTAAAGATTTACAGTCTTGGAAACCCTGTACAGGGTCGCTATGAGTCGGAACCGACTCAATGGCACATAACCACCACCACCACTAACTTAAAGGTTGGCTGTTTGAATTCAGCCAGCAGTGTCACAGAGTAAGACCTGTTAGTTGTCTTCTCTAAAGATTTAAAGCCAAGAAAACCCTATGGAGCAATTTTACATTGTAACACATGAGGTTGCCATGAGTTACAAGTAACTCTATAGCAGTGGGTTAGGAGTCAAACCCACCAGTCACTCCTTGGAAAATTCTATACGGAGTGGAGTGGACTCTACTGCACTTAACAACAGGCTCAACAAGAAAAAATTACTTTACCCCTTTCTTATTAAGAAGTCATCAGGGATATATAGTTTATTTGATGTGAACCCCACCAATATAAAAACTTTAGAACTTTAAAAACACAGTTTAATTTTCTACACATTTGACTTACTCTTTTCTCAATGCTTTTATGTGAGGGGGCTTCAGAAAGTTCATGGAGAAAAGTGGTATTAAAGATAATGTAATGTGAAGATAATGTAAGTTCCCTTTTATAGATTATATACACTATCATCAGTATATGTACTGTTTCATTTAAGGAATCTCTCGTCATAGATAAAATAGTATCTTTCTTTTTGAAAATTTGTTATTTTTACAATTGTATGTAATTGTTCATTGAGGAAGTGTGTTGAGTGAGAGAAACAAGACTTTGTATGATCGGTCAGTGTAATTTTAAGTTTTCTCTGTTTTGAACAACTACTGGGAACAAAAAGAGCATTTTTTTTGAGAAAAATTGATTAAAATTTTATGCACCCCAATAGCATCCGTTAGTATAGCTTTAAAGTTAGTTACTTGTTAAAGTCTAATTGTAATTGTAGATGAATATTTACCAGTTTATAAGAAACAAATACTAGAAACAAAACCAGAACAGTGTGTTTATCTAGACTTTTGAGTATATTCATTAGTTGATTTCTAGAATATTATAGTTTTAATAATTTACTTGTAATAAGAATATGTTTGAAAATTCAGCTTCCTAGAATTCATGTTTTCACTGAAAACTTCAGTATAGTATAGTGTTTGTTATTCTATGTGACAGGATACCCAGAATTATATTGACGAATGTCCTGAGAACGGAGTTAGGAAGAAAATATGTAAAGATCCATCCTGTAACTGAGGCCAGTTTGGGTGATGCAGACAACTTGCAATCAGAGCAACTTTCTTCATCATATGATGGCAACCTAGAATCTTGTCAGAATCTAAATCCTCAAAAGAGCTGTTTTTTATCTGAAAGGTATGTTTAGTGATACATTTGCTCAAATATTATAATTACTCTCATGAACCCCCCTCCCATTATTTCCCCACAGATATGTTATTGCTAAATGTGAGGTAAAGTGCTCTGATGACTGCTCTGGCTTATCTCCTTTGGTCACTGGCATGGCTGTCAGTACCAACAGTACTAATGCTAGTTTCAAAAAGGACTCATCTCTCAACATAATGTATTTTTGGAAAATGGATTCAGATTCTTAATGAAAATTTAGTCACCTATTTCTACATTGCAGTTTCTTTCTTAATCTGGTGTAACTGAAATCCATAACCCTGATATCTGTTAATATATTCTTATCATGTTCTCTGCCCTGTTCATCCATCTGTTCACCTGTCCATCTATCCTTCCATCCATCTCGTCTTATTCACTGTTTTATCTCTGGAATCTATAAATGTACCTGGCACTTACTGCTCACATATTTATTTATTGAATGTATTCCTCACAAACATGATTTGAAATAGCAAAATTCCTTTAACAAATGCAGCTTACTGTGTCAGTAAGGGGATGCATAATCTGAGTTTTCTTTGTTTTAAGCTGTAGGAGAGGCTCATGTGGGCAACAGAAATAATCAAGCTAGAATCTGTGGGAAAAAGTTAGGGGATGGTTAATTAGTAAATATGACTAGATCTGTAAACGAATTTAACTTTCATTTCTCATGAACTCCTGAAGCTTCTCTTCTTATTTTTCTAATTTCAGTCTGTAGATTAAAGATTTTGATCTGAGTGAAAAATTGATCTTAATTTTACCACTCTAAACTATCCAAAGGAAATGTCTAGTTTGTAACTCTCTCATAAGTTGAGTTATATTAAAGAATGTCTTTAGTAGTCTCTTTAAAGATTTCTTTAAAAATGCTGATTTCTTGTATTTCTTATGCTTGTGTTTATAACAAATTTTATTTTAATAAATGGTATTTCTTATGAACTTCTGAACTTGTTTCTTTTTGGGAAATATTTTGTTTGCACTTAGGTTTGTTTATTTTGTGAATTATTTTAGTGATGATTTTAATTTTGTATTTTTATTAGATCTTTTTTAAAATTTGCTTAAGATAAATGAAAGTTTCAATGGCATTATCCAGTTACTAAATTGAATGTAGAGTTGGAATTTAAATATTAGGAAAGCATCATATTACACTGTTAGTTTTTCCACTTTTGCTAGACTGTGAGCTCTTTAAGAAGAGGTATCATGTCTTATTGGAGTGCTAGTGTGGTGCTGTGGGTTAATGCATTGGACTGCAAAGTCAATTTGAACCGCAGAGTTGGCGGTTCAAGCTCACCAGTTGTTCCTCAGAAATCCTATACAGGGTCACTATTGGTTGGAACGGACTCGACTGCACTTAACAACAACAATCATGTCTTATTTGCATTTATATTCAGTGGTTAGCTCAGTAAATACTGAATTTTGTACACTTGGGTTAATGTTCATGTTATTTAATCTTATATTCAGTCTCCTGAGTTGTTAAAAGACAGGATTGTTATATTATCTCTTTTGTATCTTTCTTGTACCGGTAAGAGATTCTTTGTAGACATAAAGTCTTATACAGATGAAAATGTTATTATTGAAGATAATTAGTACAAGAAAAGTACCTTATAATGATGTACTATTGCCGTGGAATTCAAGTGACATCAAAGCACATTAATGCTGCTATAGGAAATAACACTAATAGGAGGAGTCTATGAAAATATTGAATTATAATTTGTAGTTTCAGGCTTTCTACCAATTGGAGCTAGCATTTAATAATAATAGTTATAAAATTTCTCACTATTTCCAAAATATGTCTGGAATTTGTAGCTTTTCTCAAGTCTTTCCTAAATAGTTTTGGAAATTTTCAGGAGATAGTTCATGTGGGCCCTGAAAATTAATTCTCTTGGTGGACAATTTCCTTTGACTTTAACAAACTTTGGTGCCAGTCAGCTGGGTTAAGATCTTAACTGATTTATTTTGGGCAAGCTGTTTATCTCTAAATTGAGGATAATAATACACATTGTACAGTGTTATTATATAAATTTAAGGAAATATCTATTTTATTATTAAGTGCTGTTGAGTCAGTTTCCAAGGAGTGACTGTTGAGTTTGAACCACCAGCCTTGTGGTTATTAGGCTAGTGCTTATCCTAAAGCCACACCAGGACTCCATATGTAACAAACCTAATAAAGTGTTTGAAACATAATTGGTGATTAATAAATGATAGGAGTCCTGGTGTGGCACTATAGAATAAACAATATACCACAAATGGTTGTTCAAGCTCACCAGCTGCTCCTCAGAAATCTTATACAGGGTCACTGTGAGTTGGAAATGACTCGATGACACTTAACAGAAACAAAAAAAAGTCATTATTTGTATTTCTCTTATTGCTATTGCTATCAGAAGTGCCACTAAAAACTCCTGCTGTAGTTGATGCTACTGAAGTTATTTGTGCTAAGACTACACATGTCTGATCCTGCTAATTTTCATTGCTACCAAGGCAATTGTAGTAGCCATATCAGCATCACCATTTGATTTATAGAGGAATATTGCTCTTTTCAAGGAGCTCTGGTAGCTTAGTGGTTACGAGTAAGGCTGCTAACCTCAAGGGCAGCAGCAGATTGAAACTAACAGTGGTTCCATGGGAGAAAGGTGAGGCTTTTTGCTCCTGTATAGATTTACAGTTTCAGAAACCCTATGCAGGGTTACTATGAGTCAGAACTGACTGAATGGCACATAACCTCCACCACCACCATTGCTTTCTTCAGAGTCTGAGTGGTTCAAACGGTTTGTATGTTTAGATTCCAACTAAAAGGTTGGAACTTTGAGTTCACCCATAGGTGCTGTGGAAGAAAAGTCTAGTGATTTACTTTTGAAGTATCAGCTGTTGAAAATCTTAAGAAGCACAAAGCTATTCTAACACTGTTGAGTTGGAATTGAATTGACAGTAACTAGTATTGAGTCTCCTTAAACCAAATTTTAGTTTTCACTTTCCTTAAAATGAGTTTGTTTTAAGCAGGATCCGGAGTATCCCATGAAAATAAACTCTCAAGTGTGACCAAAACTTCTAGATCTGTACTATTAGAACTGAAATAAACACAGGATGAGCACATGTAGACTCAGAATGGGACTACTGCTGTATCCAATCTTCTCCTAGCCTGCTCATCTCAAAATCATGAGGAGTAAATAAAATTTTAGATCTTTTGTTACCAAACCAAAAATCCCATTGCTGTTGAGTTGATTGCAGCTCAAAGTGGCATAGTAGAACTGTCCTATATTTTTTCCAAGGTTCTAAATCTTATGGGAGCAGTCTGCCACATCTGTATTTGGCTAAGTGGTTAGGGTTGGGGGCTTCAAACCACCAACCTTTGGATAGTCAGCTGAGCACTTTAACACTGCATATCCAGAGCGTCTAGGTCTTTTGAGAACGGAGACTGACATTGTTGTTACCATAATGTTCTTATAAGATGTTGTTGTTAAGCGCCATGGAGTCAGTTCTGACTCAGTGACCCTGAACAAGAGTTCCAAGGAACATACAGTGGGGTTGAACCACTAGCCTTGTGGTTAGCAGACCAGTGCTTATCCAATAGCACGACACACAATTGTGTAGAATTCGGTAAACATGCCAACTTTTATTGCAAAGTCTTAGTTTAGCAACATAGTCTGAACAACTTAGCCAACTTTAGTGTTCAGAATTGTTATTATTGATAGCATGCAACCTGAATAGAATTATGTAGGGGAAAAGTGTCTTAATACCAAGCATTGAAGAGTGTTTAAAAGAAACCATGGGTGAACAGAATATTAAATTTGAAATGGTCTCTTGAAGTAATATTTTTGTTATTGAGAATGTTTATTAGCATTACTGGGTGCTGTTGAGTCAATTTTCATTCATAATGACCCATATGACTGATTTAGGACTGCCCAGTGGGATTTTCTAGGCTGTAATTTTCAGTGGAATAACTCATGAAATCTTTTCTTTCCCGGACTCTTTGGGGAATTGGAACTGCCAATTTGTTGATTAGCACCTGAGTGTTTACATGTTGTGTTACCAGTGAGGATGGTGCAAGACCAGCGTTGTTTTGTTTTGTGGTACATAGAGTCACTATGAGTTGGCATCACTGACTCCATGGCACCTAACAACAACGACAACAACCCTCAATTAATTAAGGAGGGAGAAAGATGAGGCCTTCTGTTATGAAGATTTGTAGCCTTGGGAACCTTATAAAGCAGGTGTGGGAAACTTCTGGCCTATGAACCGTATAAGGCCCATGAAATCATTTGGCTCCAGCCATCACATTAGGGGTGAGTTAATTAAATATTTGACCAAATATAGTAAGCTAAATTTTAAATTAATGATTTTTTTTTTTTTGCAAATTTATGAATACTGATTTATGGTCAGCCTTGTAAGGCTATACAGTTCACTTGATAACAGCTTAATTTAAGTCTAAAGACAGAGAACAAGGGAATTGGTAACATGGATCTAAAAGGCTGGGACTGCCTTGTCATAATTTGAGTTCGTGAGTTGTTGTTGTGAAGTGCTGTCGAGTTGATTTTGACACATAGTGACCCTGTATAGGGTTTCCAAGAAACATCTGGTGACATTGAACCGCCAACCTTTCAGCTCAAACTTTTTGCTTTGCAGTCTGGCGCATTAACCCACATCGCAGGTCAGCTAATCCTGCTCAGTCTTGATTTTTAAAAATTTTTTTTAAGGTTTTTATTGTGGATTGAGTGAAAGTTTTCAGGGCACATCATCGGTTTCACATTCAAACATTCATATACCTTGTTTCATTACATTGATTATAATCCC